CGGACTAACGGACTAGCGTTAGTGTCGAACCCTGGTAACCTTTCCAATTAGCAGCAGTCCTAATAGTCGCCTTAGTTATGATAGCCGCGCGCCCGCGAGTTTTCGACGCGCCGAAAAAAACCTAGCGCTCCCTCGACCAAAAGGTCACGACCTCTAACCTCTGCATTGACCCCGTGACCCACCTGATGAGTCGTGATGTCGCTGCAGCCTTGCCACTCTTATCCATCCCGTCCAGCGGCACGAAGTCGGGCGCGGTGGCGCCACCTTGCGTGCGCGCCTGCTCACGCTTCTTCTTTAACGCGAAGATCATGGCGGCGTCCGGGATTATGCCAGCTGGAGCGGCGCAGCAGGGTAGAGAGAGAGAGAGAGAGAGAGAGAGTGAGTATGGACGTGCAGGGTAACTTTTCCCTCTCGAATCTATCGCGGTTATATTTTTTGATAATTTTTTTTAACATTCGCATTTATATAGATACATTTATTGTATTTTAGTGTAACGAAACCCACGTCGGCAATTCCATTCTTTCATTCTACAACCTTACGATTACATTCTACTATATTACGAGATATATGTAACAGTCTATGTGCAAATTGTGCATTGTATTATTTTATTTTCTTATTATTTCGCTTTTGTTATCTTAGCAAGAGCACAAAAATAACAGTCGCTAAAGACTTAACCTGGTAAGATTCAATGAGAATAAGAATAAAAATGAAAGTGAAAAGACGAAAGAAAAACAAGGCAGAATCACTCACTCTCTAGGATGCTCCTCGTGAACGGATGCTCCCCCTTCTCCTCCTCCTCCTCATCCTCCTTCTCCGCAGCCTCCTCGTCCTCCCCGTTGCCGAACGACGCCAGGATGGGCTTCTGTGCGAGTTTCAACTCCTGCGCGGGAGGAAAGATAACGAGGACGTCGTTAGAGCCTAACGAGCTTGCATCGTCGCGTCCGACAAACGACATTCTAGGGTTTAATTGCCCTCAGAACTTTGGGGAAGGCAAGTGATGCCTTTGCAGGGTTCTCCCTAGGAATTTCAGAAGACATTTCGTTTTATGGATGAACGGGGGGAGGGTCCAGGAGGGCTATATATAGCAATCAGTGATTTATGCATGTTTTAACCAGCCCCATTACACAAGTAAACTCGATCAATTCAGAGACGCACACATCAAGCAGTAAAACCACAGCACGACTGCGTCGGGAAATTGCCAAACAGCAAATGCACCTGTAAATCAGGGAATATTGATTTTAGTCAATTAAGGAATGTCGGTGGAGGTACGGTACGTCGCAAATTAGCTCGAAACTTTTAAGGAACGTCGGACCCGGCATGCGTTTAAGGCAGGGTCAAAAATACACGGGAGCGATGAGTGATTCACTCTTCAAACCTCCTAAATAGCTGTCAAATTTTTGACGAGAGCTATTTTTCCGACAGACCTTTGAAAAAGAGCTCCCGTGGGAAAAAAATTCTCCTGGTTAAAGGCCCGGGGAGAACCCTGCCTTATGTTAAATCGTAAATGACGACGTCGCCTCCGCACGACAGAGGGGCCGCCGATGCAACATACTTGCTATCAGCAACAAATTTACGAATGACGGGAGAGCGGCAATAGATACACAACACGAAATTTATACGAGCAGCATAAGAGGCAAGCCGGGTAGAGGAAATTTTTCACGCTCGCACGAAACGCGCACCACGGGCGAAAACCGACTGATGCAGCGGCTTCCTTGAATTCCCCCAGAGTGCGCCACCGTCCACCGCTCCAAAAACACCAGAACAGTTCCGCCAGTCACCTCACACGACGACTAACACACGACGGGCAACCATTGTAGCGAATTAATCCAATTGATTTTATTCGATGTAGACTTCAACTAATATATCAATACATCTTACTCAACACCGTGCCTTACAATCTCAGCTGCCAGCATGCTCTAAGTGGGAAACAACCATGTAATTTGTTACTGCGCCAACAGAGTCACACCCCACTCAATGGTTTTTTTACAAATATGGCCGCCAGCGAAACCACCATACAGCTCGTGGCCGATCTCATAAATAATAGTCTTCAAAGTCAAGATACTTACATCGAAGACGGATCGAAGACAACGTTGATCAAACAGACAGATTATGCGGCGACAGGGGGAAGGAACGGGGGGAAAAATGGGAGGGAAAGATGCCATGTCAAAGTAAAACTAATTTAACCGAACGACAAAGATGATTTCAACATTCAAAACGTGCCTAAATAACCCACTTTGGATCTTAGACGTCAAGCAGGTATTCCCCTTTGGTGGTGGCGACGGCTGCCGCCGCGTCGTACCTGTCACCCCGGCCATCGCTCTTTGCGGGGCTTCAATGTCGCACGTTCTGCCCGCTAGCTCTCCGATCGTCGACTCGGTGCCGACTCGCTGACCGTTGGAAGATTCCCGCCCTCTAGTGAGTGAACGACCTGCACGACGAAGAAGCAGGGAAGATAGTTGGAAGAGAAAGATCGCAGAAAACAACGGTCGCAGCACGATACTTGCCGCTCGTCCTGCTTCCGTGTAGCGCGCGTGACAAGTATCTTATAGGCCGCAGGGATTTCCGGAGGAGGAGGAGCAGGCATTTGGCCAGCAATTTAAAGAAGAATCTTTGTTCGCCCGCGTGACGACGCGAGCGTGAAGATGTTGTGCGTGATATTGCGTGAAGTAGTAGTTGTTATGAGTAACGTGTCTGTTTGTTTATCTTTTTTAGCGAAATTCGAGCAGTCCGGTGTCTAGCATGCTCGGGCGCGCCTGTGCTTTCTGTGGAGATACTCTCTTATGTTGAGGATGTGTCGGTTGTTGGCTTGGTAGTTCGGTAATAAAGTGGTTATGGGCCTGAGCGACGATTTATCTACTAAGTGTACGCAGTGATACAAATTGTAAAAAAAAGAAATGAAGACCAATTAAAAGTGTTTCGTTTGGAGTCTGCGCGCCGGGTTGTTTGCGGGGCGTGGGCGGCGTTTTGACAGGCGCACCGGGGCGACACCACACGCTATTTTTCTATCTATGCGCCCCGCAGAGCACTGGTGCGGGTGTGAGTCCGGACAGACCAGGCCAAGGCGAGGAATCGGACGGAAGTGCACAACGTGGTCGCGTGTGTAGGGGCTGTTCGATGGCGTCCGGGCCGCGCGTACTGTCCTGTTTCGTAGCGCTGCGGCGCGGCCTTGCCCTTGTTAGACTAGCCGCAGTATTCATATCACAGAATCTTAACCACAAGTTCCCTTTCGTCGCCATTACAACACTACCGTTGCGCGAGAGGGTCAACGAAGCCGGACGCAAGTAGGAATATTGTTTGGCATGACGCGTCGCGCTCGCCTATTAACGTTTTAAATTATCTAACTTTTGATGATTCCTTACAGCTTCTCGTGTACTGTTCACGCCCTCGGATTTATTGATATGTGCGCTTAATCAGCTGGGAGCATGTATTTGACGTGTCATGGAGTAATCTATTTCAGGCGGGAATAAGTTTTCCGCGGGGCTATCGCCCCATGCGCAATTCGCGATGTATTTTTCACCCTGGGTTTGCTACGCCATATTTTTTTATGAATCGCAGTTTGTGCGCATGCAGCCGATGCGAGATTTAACGGGAGAAGCATACATGGTTTACAATTTACTTTTATTCTCGGGCCTGCCTTTTGCCCGCGTCAATGCAAATGCCACGTGTACTGCCGCCATTTTATTGGATTGTTAACACCACGGCGACGTGGACTTTTAAACAATCCTGCCACTC